TGGGGTGCAGCGCTGGGAGATGGCTCCAGACACAAGCATCTGATGGGTTAAGGCTCCAAGTCCAGGAAAGGCCAGGAGCTCTGAGGGACTGAGTGGAAGTGGGTGTGGGTGCTGGGTGCTGGGAGCAAGGGGCAGAGGCGAGGGTGACTTAGGGAGGTGTAGCTGGCCCTTAAACTTAAGGCATTGGGGACTTCACCTTAAAAGCAGTAGGGCACCCTGCAGGGCCAGGATGAGGATGCTTGTGGGTCACATATGACTTGAGCAAATTTGAGTCTAACCCTATTCTGACCATGGAGGGGGAGACCAGGACAGGTAGGAGGCTGCTTCCAAGACTACTTGGGCTCTGACCACCAAGCAGCAAGAAGAGAAATGGATGAGACTGGGAGCTGCTAACAGTACTCAGTGGTGGTGGAGAGGAGGTGACACATGACAGAGAGGACCGGCGAGACAGTGGTGCTGGGCAGAGAGAGGCCAGTCCTGGACGTCACTGGGATCTAATGTTTGTGAGATGAGTCCAAGAACGACTGCTTTCTGGTGTGTCCTAGGCATTACCAAAGGACAGGATCAGGAAATAGTTAATGTTCTGTCACATGGTCTTTCATGCCTATTTTAAAAAATTAAATCACTGTGTAGCCTTTTAACCTATTTTTAATATTTTCAAAGTATGATGGTCATTAACTCACTGTAATATACACTTTGCCCTCCTGGTACTTTTCTCATTGTATTTAAAAAACTATTCTTTCTTCTTTCTCCTCAATTAATTCTGCTTTGCACATCTATACTCATCCTCAAGACTTAGATGTCTTGACTCAATCCCTTCCAGGTACACAAGATGTCTTGACATCTGTGAGGCTCAGAGCCTCTTAGTTAAGAGTATTTATTAGGACAGTGCATACTGAATAAATTCTGAAGTTCAGACAAGCAACTTAAGTCCAAAGGACTTTTCCAATTTCCACAATTGTATGTCTTTCTCTTTGTAGGGGACACACAGGGCAGCATAAGACCAGCAGACACATGGATCTGACAGAAGAGAGAGAAACCTGCTCACACCAAGCAGAGTGACTGATTTCAGATTCTGCATCACAGCGATGGAGGGCCTCTGAGTCTAACTTCATTTGTGATGCCAGTTCACCCTACCAGCTTCTACGGAGTCCTGTTCCATTTCCTTCAGGGAATAAAAAACATTTGGTCCTCCTAGTGCCCCCACACAAAGAGCTCTGATTTAATAACACAAGATGACCCACATCTAACACATCACGTCCTTTCTTTAAAGCCAAATAAAAATGGTGAACTGAAAATCAATCAAAACCTATTTCTTCTGTGTAGCTGGTTCCAGATGGCTGCCACTGCCACCTGCTTCTCCTTTCAGGGAGGAGCCCTGCCCCTCAGGCCTGGCTGTGACCTGAGCCTGTCAGTTAACCTCTCCAGACCTGTTTTGTCACAGACACTGCCAAGTTCACCTCACTGGACGATTCTGAGGAGGATGGGTGAGGAGCTACGTGGCTGGTGAGGACCCACTTCTTCAGGAAGCTGCATAAGGATATGATGTGCCTGTTTACACAAAGGGCGAGTACAATAAACAACTGTCACAATGCAATAAACTCAGAGGACTTCAAAGGTCACTTCTCAGGTATTCAGTTTAGCTCCAAGAGCCCTTAGTCTAGCAGTTATGTGACATGCCTGACCCCTTACAATGACAAACCAGAAACTGGGTGTAAATGCATGCACATTTCCAGTCCTGACCGACCTGCACTTTGCCACACAAATTCCTCCTGCCAGGTCATCTGTGTGAAGCACCGTACTCAGCAGGTTCTTCCCTGACCCAAAGCTGCTGGTGACTATCTGAGGGGTGCTACCTCAGGCCATTACCTCATCCTGCTTCCTGGGTCCTCTGACATGTGTCCCAGGACCTTTCTACCTTCTCCACTGCCATGGCCCCCTCCACCTGGCCAGACATCAGTCAAACCAAGTCAGGCCCTGGATTGTGTACCCAGGACATTTAAAGTCGATGAGGGGCGACTGTATTATTCATGGCTTTGCCCCCAGGACTTAATCAATAAATGCTGGTTGTAGCTTGGAGGCCATCTTTCACTATAGCAAACATAATAAGGACAACAGTGACAATTGTGATGACAACAGTGGAACAGCCATAGCCACTGATCAAGCCACTGTCCCACAGCCACATGTGCTATCTTCTGTGAATCCTGTCATAGCCTGTCATGTTCTGTCATTCTTGCCCCACATGACTGAAGAGAAGGCAGAGGCATGGGGAGATGAGTGCCTGCTCTGGTACCCTGACTGCCTTGCCAGTGATCTGTGCAGCAGACATCACTGGGAGCTGCCACTTCCAGGCTCTGTCTCCCCACCGTGAGCAGGATCTCTCCATCCCTGGAGCTGACAGTCTAGTGCTAGAAAGCAGACACTTGTCTAACAAATGAGATGGAGTCTGAAAATGAAAAATATAGCAGTGTAAAGCAATCAATGGTGACGGGCGCTGTTATTTCAGAGAAGGAGGTGGATCAACAATTACTGAGGAAGTGACCCTGAAAGAGTCCTGACAGTGAACAACAATGGGTCCTTTTTTCTTTTGGGGTACTGGGGATCAAATTCAAGACCTTGTACTTGCCAGGCAGGTGCTTATGCTATCGAGCTATCTCCTCAGCAAGCACAGGAGGGAACATGTTTCAGCAGGGGAAATGGGAAGTGCACGAGCCTTGAGGCAGGAGAAGTCTGGGCAGCCAGTGAACAGAAGCTTGCCAGTGTGTGTGAGGGGAAGGAGCTGGGAGCAGAGAGGTGTGCGGGCTCCACTCGCGCTGAGCACCAGGCATGGTGCAGAGTTGGGCCTGCTTGACTAGGGGTGGGGGCAACATTAGTGTTAGGGCCACAGAACAGGATCAGTTCTGAGCCTTTAAAGAAAAAAATAATAGATATTATTTAACCTGGTTATCCAATCAGCAAGCAATCAATACAAAATGACTCAGTTTATATTGAACATGCAAGGCCTTCCAACCCCAGTGTACTTTGTGATTGTAGAACAACTCCATTTGGCCCAGCCCGCCTATTCCTGGCTCCTGTGCCAGTAAACAGGTGTTAGTCTAACACTCTCACGGCACATTCTCCAAAGATGCAGGCGCATGCCAGTCCTCTCCTGGCCTAGAGGAGAGGACTGGCATGCTCCTGCATCTTTGGAGACTGTTATGGTCATGGGAACATTTCGATCCTGAGCTCTTCATGGAGGAGGAAGACAGCTGGGTGGGTCACTTCCAGGCTGCAGGGCCCAGGACAGACATAGACCCTATCCTGTGGGCCTGTCAAGGGACCTTGCTGGTCAGCGAGTGGTGAGTAGGCATCGCCTGCACGAATACTGAGCATCTCTGAAGAGGGGATGGAAGAGAGACCAGGCCAGAGCTGGTGGTGGGGATGGGGAATGTGGGAGAGAGAAGGAGCTCTCAGCTCACCTCAGAACTCTTGGCTGAGGACCTGGGGGAAGGGAGGGTATGATGCTGGGAGAGCAGTGAGTGTGGGGGCCGCAGTCCTTCCCCTCACAGTGGGAAGCGTGCAGTGCCTGAGAGCCAGGAGAGGAAATCCAGTAGCTGGATATGGATGTCCTCAGCCCCACGAAAAAAAACAGGGTCAGAATTCTACCTCTCCTAGTTACCACCACCTGGATGGTATCAAAGTGACAGCCTGTAATCCCCTAGGAGACTGTGGGATCCAGGATGGAGGGTGCTGGATGGGAGACAGGGAGCCAGAGTGGGCTTGGGATGCAGTGGCTGGGGTGAGCTCAAGAGCTTCTCCCAGGGTCTTGTCCATCTGACCTGCTTCAGAATTATTCTCTGGAGGCCATGCTCTGGTGTTTGTTGAGCAGGTGAGCTCTGGAGTCATAGAAATAAGCACTGTGAACCCACTCCGAGCTAGACAACCTGCCATGCAGAAGTACAGCCTCAGTCCCCCATCCCTGAATGCAACAGAGAAGGGTCTGAGCAAAAACACCCTGAAGTGTCACTGTCAGCAGGGACCCAGGCACCTCATCCTGGCCTGCGGGTGGATGGAGAGCAGTGCAGCCGGGTGGTGCGGGGTGCAGGGCCCTGGCGGGTCTGGGATCCGCTCAGCTCTGCACTGGCTGTGGGGCCCTGAGCGAGACTCTACACACGCAAGGGCACCGCTGCACCGCCTTGCGACGAGCTCTGTCACACAATGACCAGAGTCTCCTCCCCAGCACATCAAACATTGAGGGGTGTTGCTGAGAGTCCCCTAAAGTGGGCAGTTTCACCTCTATGTCAGAGCCAGGAAAGGAGCTAACTACCTCTCCACCAGAACTTCTAAGATTGCAAAATAAAGAGAAATGGAATGCTCACTTTATGGGTTGCTTGGGGCATTCGAACAAGTGTCCTGCCCTGTCCCTGTAAGATTTATTTTATTGTTTTTTCTAGGAAAGACCTCACAAAGATAAAGAACAATTGTTTCCGCCACACCCACAAACCCTGAGACTGATTTCCAGGAGGTAAACATTCCTTTCAAACACGGAACAGAATACTTCCTGAGTGCCTCTCCTGGCCGAGACCATTTAAAGTGGTTATGTGTCATCTCATATAACCTCCATGAGAACATTATGAGGTGGAACCTGCTCTGCTCCTTTTCACAGATGAGGAAAGCTAGGTGCAGAGAGATAGAGGCTGTGACGGGCCTGCGTCAGAGCTGTGCCCTGGGAAGCTTCCCCAAGCCCACAGTGCTAATGCTTCTGCTACACAGTCTCACTCCGTCACAATCTCTGTGCTGTGAGGAGAGGACACTCTGAGGTGACAACTGGCTACAAGGAACTGTCCGCAAACGGAAGCTGTGGTGCGATGAAAACTCAAGTTTGCATTTTTGTGGAAATGCTTTAAATTATGATCGTTCCAAAATCTTAGTGGCAAAATTTACACCCAACTGCATGTGGCAATCAGTGCTGAGCCTTAACGTGTCCGTGGCCAAGACTCCCGGTCTGGCAAAGCACTCACCTGAGCTCAGCGCGTGCCCCACTTCCTGCATGATCAGGAATGGAGTGGTAGTCTCAGATGCACAGATGACTTTGCCAGGCTGAGCGTCCTGGGCTGTGTTCTCCTTGGTCCCCGGTTCCACTGTGGTATGGGGAGCAGCAGTGTGGTCAGAGGTGGGCTTCTCTGTTGAGGACACTGGTGTCGTGGGGGCTGCTGGTGGTTGGGTGCTGGGTACCTGGGAGCTGTGGTTGGAGGGGACAGAGGCAGAAGGAACTGGAGGTGGTTGAGTTGACAGGGTTGACAATGATGACAGGGATGAGGCTACATCCTGTGGGGATAAGGGTGTGGGGGACTGCCACCCTGTAGTTGGCATGCTGGCTTCAGGACCACCCAAGCTGTGTTCCTCAGGTGTGAGGGCAGAGGGGATGCCAACAGCTGTTGAGGAGAGCCCAGTGGGTGAGGAGCCAGGGTTGGTGCTCTCTTGGCTGGAAGCTGGGCTGGTAATGGCCTCTTTCGCAGGCTCAGAGGAAGTGTTCTTGGAGAACGGTGTTGGCGTGGCTGCCATGGTCACCAGGAGTCCCAAGGTGTTCTGAGTGCTGCTCGTTGGGGGCATTGTGGGGACAGCGGAGCTGGATGATGCAGTGCTGGTCCCGAGGGAAGCCAGGGAGGTGGCTTTGGCCGGAAGAGAAACAGGTGAGGTTGGTTCACTCTGCGCCCTGAGTCCTGTAAAGGAGTCAGCACAGGGGTTAGTAGGGAACCCATGAAGCAGGGGGCAACAGAAGCAAGGGACGGGCTGGCCATTGTCTCACAGTACTATCACAGGGAGTATGCATTTTGTTACTGTGCCCTCCCCAAGTGTGAACGTGATGTTTACAGCATGTTCCTCCCTGCATCTACTCTGTCCCTGCTTGTCAAGAGTCAGGGAGAGCAATCAGAGGCCAGCAGCTCAAGCCTGGCTGGACTGAACTTTTTTGCACTGTTGGTCTACACCAGTGTTCCAAGAGATGAGGCTCTCTAGAAGGATGTGGCTTCCTGGACTTCAATGTCAGCTCTGTGGCACCTGCAGGGATGCAAGGCTGGTGGCCTGTGTGGTGACTAACACAGGGGCTGTGTCTGCAGGGGACTGCAGTCCTGCCCAAGGCCCGCCAAGCCAGGGAGCTGACAGGTTGGCTGTCCTGTCCCTTCTGCTGGATGGCCAGCAGCTGAGATGCATGCCTATGTGAACCCATTCCCTGCAGAGCAGGAGAGTAGAGTGTCCTAGAAAGAAAGCCAGGACAAGGAATTGCAGGTTTGGAAATATATTTTGATAGAAATCCAGTTCTCTGAAGTTCTAACCTGGGGTTTTTATGATCAAGTTATTTTTGTTCTCATTCAAATTTTTGTAAAATCTAGGATTACTTTCTTCCCTCCCCCCTCTTCATTTATCCATCACATTTCATTTGTTCATTGTTTAATAAATGGCTGTCTGAGCCGGCCATCTGGAGACATGGGACTCAGGCTCACTTCTTCAGGGACAAATCCTTGATTGGCTCTGTGAAGCCCCTCTCTGTCCCCTCTAGCTTTTGTATCTCGGTGAATAGGACCCCCATCCACTAAGAGGCATGTTAAAAACTGAGCTTCCACCTTTCATGGATCAGGGTCCCCCACAACCCACATCAAATCCTTTGGAGCCACGAGGATACACCTTCAACATATAACCCCTGTCACTCTGTATGCCCGAGTCCAAGGCTGCCCACCTCGGTGGTGGCAAGGGTCCCCTGAGCAGCCTTCTGCTTTCCTGGCTGCTTCTCTGTGTCTATTGTCACAGGCCGCAGAGAAATCTTCTCATGGCAGAGCAGGTCGTATTGCCCACTACCCAGAGCACTTCTAGGTGGCCCATTGTATTCAGAGTGAACCCCAAACCTCCCCTGGAGCTCTCATCATTCTGATGTGTGTCTCCCCAGTCACTTCAGAGGTGACTTCCTGGACAAGCCTAATAAAAATCATTTCTATTAAAGTTCTTTGTCCGTTTTTTTCAAGGTCTAAAATTACTATGTTGAAATCTATATAACCAAGAGTTAGCCTTTCCACTGCTTCACACATACAGTTCAGTGACAGGAGGTATTCGCACTCTGTTGCTTCAATCATCTCCACCATGCATCTCCAGAACTTTCTCCTTCCTCAGCCTACTTACTCCATTGCTCTGCCATATTGCAGACTGAGGGGCTCACAACAGGCTGCAGAGTGTGCCCTCAACGCAACCTTTGGGTTCTCATGAAAACAACTGTCTTTATTTTATTTCAGAAAAGTTCACTAGGAGAAGTAGAGCTCAGGGGTATAGCATTTGTCTTGCATGGCATGCATGAGGCCCTAAGCTCAGTCTCCAATACTGTAAAAAAAAAAAAGGGAGGGGGGCTTAAAAGGGGTTGATAGAGACCATGAGCTACAAGAGTGTTTCTTTCCTTTCCCTTCCTAGTAAATAGGAAGACAGACTTCCCAACTTAAGCCACCTAATATTCATGTTCTTATGGTCTTTTTGCAGTTTCAGGATGAATAAAGATCAAGAAATCCTTGACATATGGACAAAACCACAGAAGAGTCAAATATTACGAAAACACTGGATCTTGACGTGACCATTGGAGCTGTGTCCTGGCAGCTCGCACAGCTGGTGAAGAATTCAAACTGGCAAAAGTAACACTGCGTGACAGTGCACAGTAGCATATTTGGAGACAAAGGCAGACAGTGCCTCAGTTTGGTAGCTGGGGTGAAGAATCTCTGAAAGTGTGAGCTAAATGAGCATGTGCCAAATGGCACTAGTTTGTTCATTCATTTATTGAGCAGCTTCTGCATCCACGGTGCCTCAGCTCTGGTTTCAGAGAGCCCACTCTCTAGCAGAATAGAATGATATCTAATTTCCTCTAATTTGATGTGAAAGTGCTTTATAAAAGTAAGTCCAAGTTGCACTAGAAGCCCTGAGGGAAGATTAAAAATCCTGCAAGGAAACATAGAATATAAAAGATACACAAATGTCATTTCGACAGGACATTTAGGAAAGTCACAGAAGTGGCAGCATTTGAGTTGAGTCTGAAAAGATAAGAACGTACACACTGTTGCTCGGGATCAGCTTGTGCTACCACTGCAGTGGAGAAAAGTTCCTCCATGGACAACATTTCGATGTCCAAAACAGATGCTCCAAGAGCTGGTGTCGCCGCTGGAGATGCCCACTTCCTTGTTAATTCATATTAATACTTTTATATTTCTACCAGCTGCCAATGAAGACTGGAAGTGGCATTTCCTATGGTCACACACGGAGTAACTGTTTAAAGCTTCTGCAGTGAAATTCAACCAATCCCTACCCTTTACCAACCAAGAATGCATGACAGTGCCACCTTGCTGGTGTTCACCCCTTTGGCAGGTGGAGGGAGAGACAGCAAGTTCTGGGCAGCCTCCTGTGAGGACAATGATTCTTCCTGAGGTCCCACTCAGGTCACCTCCTCTGACCCTACCTACCTCCTGAAGTCCTCTTCTCCATGCGCCCCACACTTGGGACCTGTTATAGTTTGTGTATAGGTGTCCCCCTAAAGCCTCATGCAGTCTTGGGGCAGCTTCCAGAGTTTGTGATTGATTATTGCGGGTGTGTATGCTGTACCAGCTCTGGGGCAGGTAATTTGCATTAGGTGGGAAGAGAAGCTAGCTACTTGAGCTGCTGCTGCACCTCCCTTTGTGCTCTCGCTCTTTGCCACCACCATGAAAGGTTGTTCTCTGCCATGTGCCAGGCAGTCTTGGAGCCAGCTGAGTATGGACTGAAACCTCCAGTAGCTGAGGTAAATAAACCTTTCCTTCCTTCAATTTGGGTGTCACATATTTGTCCCAGAAACGAGAGAAGAGTAACTGAGACAAGGCCAAAACTTCAGCATGGGAATTGCTAGGCCACTCCCAGGGAGCATGGCTTCTGCTCTCTCCTGTGCAGGTATCTTTTTCCTACATGAAGACCAAACTCAATCAGTCTACCAGGTAAATTTCAAGGCTAGAGGTGGCCTCAGTGGTGAGTACAACCTCTCTCTCATCTGCAAAGGGGGGAATGGATACAGAGAGTAGGACAGTGTGTGACAGACATCACACATCCAATGCCATGTCTACTAGGAAGAATGTGCCTGAACCTTTCTCCAGCAGCCACTGTGACAAGGCAAACAGATGAGCCCATGGAGGAAGGAAAAACCTGTGGGGTTGTAAACACCATCCCATGTGGAGGGAGCCATATGCATCCAGGACAAGAATGTGCCTTAAAATTTCCTTGAGCTAATGGAATGAAGAGTGGAGCCCACTCACCTGTCCCTCAGAGGTCAATAAGCATGGTGCAAAGCACAGTGATGTTGTCTGGGATGGTGTGCCCTGCCTGGGAGGGGACAGCTTCATGCCTGTGAGGGACTGACTCCAGGAAGGGGGCCACGACAGCCCATGTGGGAGGGAGGTCTGATGTGGATGCCTCCTTCAACAGAGTTGAAAACGGTGGCCCTTCCTTAAGTATGGCCCAACACGAGTGTGTATGAGGCAAGCAGGGCCAACACATTGTGGCTCTGAGGAAAAGCAGATTTGTAGTTGGATAGAAACTATTTGTTTCCATCTTTCAGAGGACAGCAGAGTCATTGTTCACATCTCTGATATTTGAAGGGTTGTGTTTGGCTTGGGACCCAATCTCCTGCCTTGTTAAGAGGAGGCACTGGGGGCAAAGGGCCGGGAAAGGCAGGCCAGTGGTCCAATGCCTGACCCTGGCCAGAGAGAACCTGGTCAATGGTGCCTGCACTCTGCCTCCTTTCGCTAGATGCCACAAGCAGCAAACACCTGTCCCTGTGTCCCCTACCGCCTGCTTACCTGGGTTGTTCACTGTTCTGTTTTTAACCTTTGGCCTGGGCCTTCCCCTCTCAAAGACCTGAGAAATCATGTGATGCAGCTTTGACAAATTTGATCTAACCTAATTAAAGTACACCGGGTCCTTTCCGGCTGTCAGGCCATGTGTAAAGTGTCAGGGATCAAACTCAGGACTGTGTTTGCCAGGCAGGCACTTATGCTGCTGAACTATATCCCTGGCCCAGATGCACACACTTAATGAGCATGTGAGCTGAGAGTGTAGACCAAACACCCTACATGTACCATCTCGCTATAGCCTTGTTACTCCATTCCCAACAGGGATAAATAGAAGCTCCGCAAAGTGAAGCCTCTCCTGAGGTCTCATGGCTGATACACGCCTAGCAGAGCTGGAGCTCTGGCCAATCTTGCTGTAGGTCTGAGCTCTAGGTGTCCACTCCATGGTGTTTCCATGGGAAGCACAAGGACAGCTGAGGTCGGACCCCATGTTTGTGGGGCACTCAACCCTTGATTTTCCTATCTCTACTGAGGGCCTCTAGAATGATCGCACCATGGCTCTTTCCTTCCCTCAGTCTGGTCACAGCCTCCTTAATGTCTTGTGATAAGCCTCAACTAAGGGGCATAGCACACAACATCCTCTGTGGTCCCCACTGTGCCTTCCCAGGTACCATGACCTCGTTAGTATGAATTGCTGAAGTCCTGTGACACCTCAGGCCCACTGCCTCCCTGCCTGCTCCTGCTGCTCTTCCTGCCCTGACCCTTCCTCCTGGATGCCCTTGCTAGGGAGGCTCTGAGGAGCACAGAGCCTGGCACCTCTGGGAAATAGTGGCACCCACCTTTACCAGCAGCCCTTATGGTGAGGGCTGTGCCTTGTCCTC